CATAAGGCATGGTCTCTCGATTTTGTGGGCCAGGGCCTGTCGTTGCCCGGGGAGGACCCGACCTTTTTGAGCTCAAGGGATGGGAATAAGAACGGGTTTAACAGGCAGAGTGGTGGTGTTTGGGGTTTTGGAGATGAAAGCAAGGATTGGGCTAAGGGTTTGGTTTTCTCGATCGACCTGTGGAGGGACCAAGTGCGGTGCTTTGTACAAGAGGTACCCGTGAAATTTCTATTTTGATGTTATTGTTTTTTATTTATTTGTTTATGTTTTACTTGTGTGTATGTAAACAGTCTCCGTTTTTAAGTTTGGTGTTGCTAATCTGAATGCACATATGATATAGTGGTGAAGTGTGGTTTTAATTTGCTGATATCTGTATATACAGGTGATTAAAGAGCCCGTTTATATAGTGGGAAATTCGCTCGGGGGATATGTGGCGCTCTATTTTGCTGCATGCAACCCTGAATTAGTGAAAGGTGTAACCTTGCTGAATGCAACCCCGTTTTGGGGTTTTCTCCCAAATCCCGTACGTTCTCCAAGATTATCGAGGCTTTTTCTGTGGACTGGGACTTTCCCGCTACCTTCTGGTGTCAAGAAATTAACGGAAGTTTTGTAAGTCCTTATGAACAATATCATTTGTGTTTAGTTTATTTACAGAAAAGCCCTATAAAATCCAAGATAAGAAAGAAGCTTTTCTGGTTTGGTTCCATCTTACAAATTCCCCCTTCATAAGGATAAAAATAAAAATCATGCAGTTTACTCCCTTAAGAGTTATGATATACCAAACCTTTGGGCAATTCTGTACACTTCTCGTCTACATAATTCTAACCTTCTGACTGTAGTTTCTTTTATATTTTGCCATTTATTAGATGGCAGAAAATAAGTGATCCAAGAAGTATAGCCGAGATACTGAAGCAAGTATATGCCGATCACTCGACAAGAGTCGATGAGGTGTTTTCTCGTATTATCGAGACAACAAGACACCCAGCAGCAGCTGCATCATTTGCTTCCATCATATTTGCTCCTCAGGGACAGTTATCTTTTGACGAAACCTTAACTAGGTTAGTGCTGTTAATTATCGAATTTCGCAACGACGGTAAAATTTCATAAAAAAATACTTTATTCTCTTTACCTGTGAAAATATTTTTTGATAGGTGTAAAACGAACAAAACACCCGTTTGTCTCATGTATGGGAAAGAGGATCCTTGGGTACGGCCAGTATGGGGTTTTCAGGTCAAACGTAAAGTTCCGGAAGCTCCATATTATGAGATAAGTCCGGCTGGTCATTGCCCTCATGACGAAGTTCCTGAGGTAGTTGACAATGCAACATACTACATACTGATGAAATAAAAATTATGTTCAGTTTTTTTTTT